GCCCTCCAGCAGCTCCAGCAGCTTCCCGGTGGGATCCAGGGTGGTGTTCACCTGCACCGAGGGTGCCCGCAGGATCCCGGGGCTGCCGGACACCATGGAGTGCCTGCCCGGAGACATCTGGTCCCGGCTGCCCGATCCCTGCGGCCGTAAATACCCTCCTTTGTACCCGAAACACGGCCCGGGGTGGCATCCCTGTCCCTCCTGCTGGCTGCCCTGCGCTGGCACTGTCCCTGTCCCTGCCCAGGGCACAAACCCGCTCCCCTGTCCCTGTCCCTGTCCCTGTCCAGGGCACAAACCCACTGCACTGGCGCTATCCCTGTCCCCTGGCAGCTGCTGGTGGCCTCAGGGCTGGCAGAGGGCTCAGTCGGGGCTGGGGACTCCTGTGCCCCCCAGCCCGTTGCATGTGCTCCCCATGTCCTGCTGACCCCTCCCCAGGCTCCAAGTGCCCCTCCATCCCCGCTCTGGTGCCTGCTGCAGGTTGGCAGCCTGGCAAGGAACCCGAATTCACCTGCCACGGGCACCAGGAGCTCTCCAGACATCCCTGTGGTCCTGGGGAGTATTTGGGCAGCTCCTGGTAGGCAGCTCTGTCCTTTCCTTGGCTGCCAGGGAGCTGCTCTGTCCCAACCAGGCTGAGGTTTGCTGCCCTGTCCAAGGAGGATGAGAGGAGGAATTTCTTCTCTGTTGGCACCAACGTGAGCTACGTCTGCCGGCCCGGCTACGAGAACACCTCAGCGAGTTCCCCCTCCAGCACTTGCCTCGAGAACCTGACGTGGTCACAACCTGCTGAGCTGTGCAGGAGTGAGTATTTCTGCTGCCCCCACACCCCAAAAAAGCAGCTCTGGCTGCTCCCAACCTGCATCCCAAAATGCAGCCCTGGTCATTATCATCCCAACAGCTCCATTAACACGAAATTGGGTGGATAATCCTTGTCATTCCTATTTCAGGTTGAACAGCAGAAGATCAGTGATGTTCTTTCTGTTTTTTCTGCTGGTATTAATGGGTCTGGTTTGATTTTCATGCTAGGGAATGTTTGGTTGGGCTCGGTGATCTTCGAGGTCTTTTCCAACATTTTTGAGGTCCTAAAGATGTTTCCAGTGGGACATGGCACAGGCAGGGGACAAATCCCCATTTGCTGTTCTAGCACTGAACCTCAACATGAAGGCAAAGAATTCTCACCATGGAATATTGAGACTGGTGATGTGACAGGAATATTTTTTCACAGTCGAGTTTCCAATCCACTGAGATGGAAACCCCTCTGTAGGTGTGGAGCACTGTGGGATCCCCACCTTGCCCTACAGCTGAGTCTGGCTCCTGCCAGCCTGGCTGTGATGCCCACGGAGTAAAATTCTCCGGAATCTTTGGGAATACCCCTCCAAGCCTGTGTCTCGTGTCCCATTCAGCCTTTTTTGTGCCCCCAGGGAGGTCCTGTGGCACCCCGGGAGCGCTGCCCGGGGGGAGGATGGGGCCCCTCCTGGACCTGCAGCTGGGAGCACGAGTGGAAGTGTTCTGTGAGCGTGGGTGAGTGCTGGCACACGGCTCCAGAGGGGCACACAGCTGGAGGGAGGCCACCAGGCTCAGGATTCAGGGTCACATTTTCCTCCCAGTGCCACCCAGAGGAGCTCTGAAGTGTCCATCCCAACAGGAGCAGCTGGTTGTACTCTCAGCTGATAACTCTAGACTTCAATACAAGTTATGCAAAATATTTCAGCTTAAGATAGTTGAGATATATTGGAAAAAAAAAAAGGGGTTACATTGGGATTTCTAAAATCCATTAAAGTTCAGCTGGAAAAGTGCAGTGAAGCACAATTTCCACAGTCAGGAGCTGACTCATGGCTGCTGCCTGCTTTCAATCAGGGCCCAAATGCAGTGAACAGCCCTGACATTTTAATCTCTTGCCACTGCAGCCAGAGTTCCTCCCTCCCAGCAGGAAGCAGCTGGCATCATCTGGCTGGTGCTGCCCAGCTCCAAATGCAGCAGAGGGGTTTTGTCTCTCCCCTGGGATGTAATTGGAGGAAACAAGAGCGTGTCCCACCCTGCTGGGGCTGAGCTAAACCTTGGAAACCCACTTCAGGGTGGAGGATTCTGTTGCTCATGTAAGTTAGATCAGATATTATCCATCCTGGCCAGATGCTGAGGGTTTCTGCACAGGAGGGTGATTCAGAATGGAGAAGGTGTCAGCTGTCAGAACACAAAAACCATGCAGAAGCCACTTTAATTAAATATGGATTCATCCCTGCTGCCCCTTGCTGCTCCTGGAGTACATGGAGGATCCATCTGAATCCCAGAATCCCAGACTGGATTGGGTTGGAAGAGACCTTAAAACTCATCCAGGGACACCTCCCACTGTCGCAGTGGCTCCTCCCGTGTCACCTCACCCCGAGGTGACAGCAGCGAGGGAAAGGTCCTGGATGGGGACGGGGCAATCCCAGCCCTGCTGTGGGCCAGGAGCAGGCAGGGATGGAGCCCTGAGCCAGCAAATCCCTGTGGGAATCCATCCCTCAGCTCAGCCCTGTCTGGCATTCCCAGAGAATTCTGCCAGCCTCAGCTCCGAATTCTCCCTTCCCTGCCCTGGGAAATGCAGCGTCAGAGCAGAGAACACCCAAAATAGATGAACACAGATCCTGACAGCAGTTCTGTTAAGCAGCAGTGTCAGCATCACTGCTTGTTTGAAGCTGCCTTTCCTGCACTCCTGGTCATGCTCCTACTGGAGGTGGGTGGGAAACATTCCCAGCCTTTGGATAGTTACACCGATTTTCTCTCATTTATTTTAGGTACAAATTAGTTGGGAATAATATCATCTGGTGCCAGCTGAAAGGAAACGATGTTGAATGGAGCAAACTTCCAACTTGTGAATGTGAGATTCATCTTAAATTGTGAGGTTAAACCTTTTTACTTCACCCCAGCAGATCCTGCATCCCGATGTCCAGTCCAAACCTCTCTTTGGATTGTTTTTGTTGCTACTCTGTGGCTGATCTGTCCCCAAGGGCACAGCTGAGAAATGCCCATTCTGCTGCTATTTCAGCAGCTTTGTTCCCTCAAAATCAACATTTTTGTCATGACGGAAGGGGATGGGGTGAGATTTCCAGGAATCCTGAGCGTGGCAAGCTGCTGGTTATTTGTTGTGGCAAATAAAGAGAGGGAGAAAAGTGTGAGAAGAGAAACACTTGGGGAACAAACCAGAGAGAACTGGGGCAGGCAGCAGTGCTTTAGCCACCTGCACTGTCCAGAGCTAATCCTCAAGAACCTTAGGCAGACTCAAACATTTTGTATTTTTTATTAAAACCCAAGATTTTAGCAAACACATTGTCCTTCCCTCCTGCAGTAATTACCTGCTCTCCACCCCCTCCAATCAGCCACGGGAGACACGATGGGGAAGGCGTTGAGATTTTTCCTTATAACTCCACGGTGACCTACAGCTGTGATCCCAAATTCCAGCTGGTTGGGAATGGGAGCATCCAGTGTGGGAGCAGGGACAAAACCAGCGGGGTCTGGAGCGGAGCCACGCCTGAGTGCAAAGGTGGTTTCATCCCAGTTCAGTGGCAGATATTATTTATTATTTGTTATTTGTTATTTGTTATTTGTTATTTGTTATTTGTTATTTGTTATTTGTCATTTGTTATTTATTATTTATTATTTATTATTTATTGTTTATTGTTTATTGTTTATTGCTTATTGCTTATTGTTAATTATTTATTGTTCATTATTTATTGTTCATTATTTTTATTTTTATTTTTAAATTTAAATTTTAATTTTTAATTTAATTTTTTATTTATTTTAGTATTTATTTTTAGCATGTATTAAGTTTATGTATTATGTATTATTTATTATTTAATGTTTATTGTTTACTGCTTACCATTTACTGTTTACTCTTTATTACTTAGCGCTTATTGCTTAATATTTATTCCTTAGCATTAATTACTCATTATTTCCTACTTAGTATTTAGTATTAGTTTGGTATTCAGGGTGAACCAGCTTAAAATATTGCGGGTAGGAAGTGCAGGAGGGGTCAAATGTCAGTCGCAAGGACATTTTAAAGGGAAAAAGGCAGAGCTGGGCAGGGGCTGGGCGGGCTGGGGAAAGGAGGAGTGGCCCGAGCAATTCTCCCTCTTTGTGCCCAGAGAAAAGCTCAGCTCCCGGACTCGGAGCAAAAGCCGCGGAGGGGAGAGCTCCTCCCAAAAGTGAGTTCGAGTGGCTCCGCACTGAACCACATCCCCCTGCTTTTGCTCCTTTATCCTATATTTCTAGGAAAGGCCGCCCTGTGGATGTCACCCCGGGAATTCTGTTTCCTCAGGTCGCCAGGGCAATGGAAGGCAGCCCTCTAAAAAGGTTCTCACGTGGGAGAGGAAGCTCAGCCTCCACAAAAAGGCTCTCCAAAACACCATCTCCCCCTCCCAATCCTCTTTCCTCAGGAAACCAGGTCAGTCCTGGAGGGACAACAGCATCAGCGGCGCTTCCTGGTTATTCCCATCCCCAAAACCTGGAATTTTCATTTTTTCCCTCCATATTTCTCTTCAGTGAGCAAGAACTGGGCTGTCTCAGAGTTCAGATTCGTGCTACCTTTGTACAAATCCCCAAAATCCCATTATGTGTTCAGCAAAGGATCCATGTGTCCTCCAAAGTACATGGGGGTCCTTCCCCCACCTGGCTGCTTTCAGAAGTTAAAATGGCCCAAATTTCCATCATTTTGTGGAAGTGAGTGGGGTTTCTTGTCATGTTCTTCTCTTCTGTAAGTTTTCTCTGTATAATTTATATTTTTTGCTGGTTGGGCATCTGCTTCACAGCTCAGCTTTGACTGCACCGACCTCCTATTCTCATAAAAAGCTTTGCTTTGTCTGAAATGCATTTTAATTTATCAATTATCTCCTTGCCTTCATGTTAACACAGATTTATTTTTTTAAACTCATTATTTGGGCATTCTGAAAAGCAAGAGAGGACTTTGTACCACGTAGCCCTGAGAGTGCCAGGGCTCCGAGGTGCTGATGCCAACCTTGCTCCCCACAGGGAGCTCATGCACAGCCAGGAGGAGCTGGACGTGGTGGAAGTTCTGGCCCTCCAAATTCCCCACCCGCTGCAGAGGATAATTTCATTTCATCCATGAAAAGGGTGAGTGGTGGCTTTGTGGGAAGTGCTGGGAGCTGCAGTTGTGTCACTGTAAGTGAGGAAGACACAACACCCACCAGAGGGTCTCAAAATCCAATTAGGGGATGGTGAAAAGTGTTTCTCTGGTGTCAGGGTTAAACTGAGTTTGCCCATCCCTGAGTTTTGTCTTTTGGGTCAAAACCAGAAAATCTTTTACCATTCCTGATCTGTTCCAGAAGTGGTCACACTTATTAGGACTCTTTCACCTTGCTTTAAGGTAAAGGATGAGCTAAATCAGGTCTGTCCCACCTATAAGATGCAATCTTTTAAAGATGATGTTTTAACATTCCAGGAAATCGATGGAAAATTATTCCTAAAAGCATTAGCTGATTTCCACATTTGCTCCTCCCGTTTGAGCTTTCCTCTCAGGGATTGCCTCCCAGCATCCCGAGCCAGCTGTGATTCCTGCCGATCCCACCAGGGTTTGGGAGGCTGTGCTGTCCCAGAAAGCGCCGGAGCTGCTGCAGGATTCCCCGGCTGTCCCGCCCAGCCTGACGCTGTGTTTCCAGGTTTTCTCCTCGCTGGCAACACCACAACAAACCCTAAACACAGCCCCAGCCTCCCCGCGGGGCTGAGCTGCTCCCTTAACTTCCCTGCAATTCCTGGCTGCGGGATCCAGCTGTGGATCCAGCTGCCAGCAGGGAAAAGCAAAGCAAGGACTTCCCTGTCCTGCCGAGTTTAGCTCATTTCTTTTAGGAAACCACGGTACTTGGGATATTACACTGTTTAATCTTTATATCTTGAGTGGTTTAAGCCTTTTCTTTAGCAAAAGCTTCTTCTTGTATCAGCCCGGAGTTCCTTGCAGTTTTTATTTCTACCACAGGAAGATAAAGCCAGTGTGGGCCGGGCAGCTCTGATCTCGTAACGCCAAGGAGCCACTTCTGCTTTCCAGAGGGAGGGAGGCAGCTCAGTGAGCACGTCAACCACGCACAGACCCAGAAACACAACTCCTAAATAACCTCCCCAGCGTTGTCACCCTGCCACAGAGGGACTGGAAAAGTCATGTGTGCTCTTTCGGCTGCCTACCCCAATTTTATCCTGTAAACACCTAAAACTCCCAAAGACTTTCTGGGCTTTTATTTCTATTTAGTAATAAATGGTAATTGTTTATAAAGGGCACTCTGTGAATTCAACTCTCCTGCTGTTTTCTCATCACATTTTATTCTCTTTTTCAAGAAGCTTTAAGGTATATCCTGGCAGAGCTCAGATTCAATGTTCTGTCAGTTCTTTATCACTGAACATTTATTTTCTAAATGCCATCCACAGCAATTTAAACTTGGCTACATATTTTTAAAAAGTAGTAACGGAGGAAAGCAGGAATGTGTGGGAAGTGGTCTGGAAAGGCAGCTGAAGTTAAACCTCCCCTAATCCTGTTCAGCCACCCCGAGACTG